AAAAGGAAAAACTATCTCCCAGAATGTTAATTCTCCACCAAATATTTAAGGAAGAAATGGAACAAACGAGGCTAACTTTTTGGTTCTTATAGTATTAACATTAATACTATAATGTTTCACCTAAAAATAAACTAAAAAAACAAAATACCCAAAAAACAGAAAGCTTCTAAACAGGCTCACCTATTTTGAATTCAGACGTTCTATAACTATTGCTGATCCTGATTTTACACGTAAAATAGACAAAGAGACTGAGTAAAGGACTTGAAACAATTCAACTTCAGAGGAATACAAAATCCAGTAAGGCTTATTTTAATGGCAATTTGAAGCAGATATATAGGAAGCATGGGAACATAGGTGGATTTCAAAAAACAAGGGGATTATGACAAAAAATGTTCACTAAGTATTCAGCTAAATTAATATCAAGATGTCAAAGGACACAAAATGCACTTTTGCAATTCTAAAGGAGTAAACAAACAACTTTATGATTGGAGAAAAAGGAACAAGGTAAGCACAGTCTTAGAAAATGCTTTAAAAAACAAAACAATGTAACCTGATTCCTTCCCTCTCTTCCCCATTACTCATAGAATATAGGTTTCCAGTTGTTATGATGGGAGCCTAATTAATCCTAATTAGGAAAGCAAGGAACAGGGAATTTTTAAAAAGTCAGACCTCTGTAGCCTGTAATCCTAGGACAATTTTTCTGGCCTATTATCCAGATACAACTAAATCAAGTTTGCTCTCAGGTTTACTACATTCAGGGATTCAAGCACCCACCACAATGTTCCTTTCTTATCTGTTTACTAACAATCAAATCCTTTAACATCCAGCATATATAAGTAAGTGATATCAGAAGAGGTGAGTGGATGACTAAAGGAGGGAGCTCATTAAATGAGAAAGAATAAAGAAAGGGAACACAAGAAATACCAAAGACACACAGCTATTTTCTGGTTTTGCCTAACAGGCATGTTTTGTCCACCTTCAAATATATCCAGACAAGTATTAACAGCAATAGCCAGAACTGCAGAAGCACATACCTTAGTGGGACTTCCATTTATTAAGAGTATGATGTAATCCACCCCAGTCTGCCTGGTTCATAAAAATGTGTTTTAACTATAATGAGTGGACCTCATTATAAAAGGAGAGTCTATCTCAGAATACTGCTTAGTCAATGATTATAATTACACAGCTTAACTAAGATCATCAATAAGAGATCTTAAAAACAATACAATTTTAATTGTAACGTGATTGTAAGATGCTCCCTTCTACAGATGCACAGCACAAAAAGAGTTAATGAATATCATACCTAGTTACAATGCATTTTTCAATGTATTTACTATACCATATGGTCATATTGTCCCATCTTATACCATATGGTCACAGAAAGTAGTATCAGGGGAATATAAGTGGTCAGAAGTAAATGTTTAATGCCAAAAGTAGAAGCATATTCATTGGATAAATATTTAACAAGCGTATGTCACTTACTAGAATATTCTATTTTGAGCATCTACAAAGTAATACTTACAAATACAGGACATGCAATTTGTTCAATTCAATATAGGACATGCAATTTGTTCAATTCCCAACATAATTTTATGTTTAAGATGTTTGATAAAAGAGTAAAATAATTAGAAACAACCTAATGTCAAAAACATGTTTAGTTTAAAAATTGCAGTATATCTAATGATAGGTAAAATATTTTGCGATATAGTTAAGTTAAAAATATTACAAAACCACATACATTGTATTGTATTATCTATAATAATAAAAGTGTAATATGCTAATTAGACCGGACAGCCGAATGACCTTCTGGACAAAGCTGGGGCTGCCACCACAGCTTTGAGGGCCGAGCCCCTTGCACGAATTTCGTGCATTGGGCCTCTAGTAAAAGCATAAGATGAGTTTATGGATATACGTACATCAAAATGTTTATATAATTATATCTTAGTGACAAGATAACAGATGATTTTGTTTACTTTTTGTACTTAGAGCTCTCTAATTTTTCAAAAATGAATGCGCTTTCTGTCCATAATTAGAAATGTTTTAGTGCAGCTGAAATTTCTGTGAGAAACATTTTTTAAAAAACATATTTCACTGTCAGGTAAGGTAAATCTTTAGAATAAAGCATGTCATTTTACACAAGCACAATTTTTAATTTATTTCCATGCACGTGACAATTAGACGATATCTCTTTAAGTGAATATAAAGAAGGCAGTTCAAAAATCCATTGTACATTTCAGCTTCCACTGAATTAATACCAACTTCAAATTTAAAATTATTTCTTGGAAAAATGTATTCTACCACCATGACATTGAAATTTATATTTTAAAAAGACCCATTTTGAATCACTTATCCCTCTCCCCATCAAATACATTTATTATCAGCTCTTATAAAAAAAGTATAAAGGAAAAACTACTATTCATTACTAAACATTAAAACCTGGATGAAGAAGGCAGAGGGAAACACTTTTAACTAATTAAAATTAGTTATTCTACTTATTTATGCATTCATTGGTTGTTTCTTGTATGTGCCCTGACCGGGGATCAAACCCAAAACGTTGGCATATCTGGATGATGCTCTAACCAACTGAGCTACCTGGTCAGGGCCACAAATTAAAATCTGTTCAAGTATCCTTAAGATTTCAGGAGATATGAATATGCTTTCCAATTATTAGCAATTTAAACTTAAATCCAACTGGCCTAGAGGTACTCAAGCATTGATTCATGAGAACTGCCTAGGAAGTGTGCAAATGCAGAAACTCATGCCCTAGCTCTCACCTAATCAGAATCTTCAGAGGGTGGAGTTCAAACAATCTGGCCCTTTCAAATAGGATAACAGAGATTCTACTTTACAAACACCTCCTCTATATCATTGCAAACTATTCTAATAACTCTGAAACAAAATTCTCAGTAAACAATACTATAATCAGAAAATTACAATTTCAGGAGCCATACACACTAATTTATCTACTCTTCTAGATGCAATTTAACAAAACCATACGTGATCTATAGAGTAAAGCAAGCCTAGAGGCACCTGTGCCTGGCAAGACAAAGGCATATCCGATTCATGGAAAAAATAGACAGCAGATGTGACCCCTAGTATTTATCCATTAAAAACAATGTATCCTAAAAATAAATTTCCATGTCAACGGAACAAAGCTGTTTATAAATAAGAAGGAATGTGGAGGTGTGGGGAAGACAAGAGGAAACTTCAGCAAGTTAAGTACCAAAAGCCAGGAAACAAGGCAAAATGAATGGCAACTGGGGACAAGGAAAACAGAATAAACTAGTAAATGGAAGAAGGGAAGAACTCTATCCTTAGAATTCAAGAGGAAACCAAGCTGAGCAAAAATGCAAACTGTAAAGTGGAAAATGGTGTAATTTTGTTAAGAAAGAAGAATATATGAGACAATTTAGAGTAGATCAAAAGATGGTACAGAACACATCATGGGCATAGATGGAGGTGGTATAAGAGGATGAAAAACAAACATTGTGAACAAACCGATACTAATTAGAGCAAGCACAGCAAATGAATTTACAAAGTAAAGATGATGAAGCAGGAAAAAGAATTGCATAGACAGAAGAAAGAATGAAACGTTATGAGAATTGGGAAACAAAATGTAACTAGCAGGAAGGAAAGAGAACTTTGAGCACAGTCAACTGGCATAAGCCGCTATCTGATCAAGCAAGAACTGTAAAGCGAAGTTGTTAAACCATAGATTATCTCATTATTTGTAAGTATAATGAAGTGTGTTATTTTATGTAATAAAATGCCAAATACGAAATACGATAAATTTTATGTAATAAAAAACACAATGTAAATAAACTCATTTGACAAGGTGATAAGCTGAATAATGCAACAAAAAAAAACCCCACAAAAAACAAAAGAGGCTGAGAGAAGCCATGGCTAAAAAGCAAAAAGTGAAAGAAAAAAACTGGGACAGAAGGAAGGACAACAGAAGGAAGGCAATCAAACCTATTTTTAAAAAACCGGTAGGAATAAATAGAGAGGTGTGAATGGACAATGGAAGAACCACCACAAAGTGCCGGCAGTGCAAGTGAAACCTGATGGAATCTTGACAGCTTCAGGATTCAGAAGGTAAGCAGCTCCAAAGCGTTCAGAAGGATTGGTGGAGCGAACAATGGGTAACAATGCCGGGGAGCCGGGGAATGAAGTCGGGGAGCCGTGGGATGCAGCCAAGGGCCCCAAGAGGACCAGGGGACAGAGCAGTGCAGAAAGTAGTCTTCAGCAGATAGGAGCTGAGGTCAGCAGGCGGGCGGGCGGGCCGGCAGGTGGGGATGGGGCGCGGGAGCCCCGACCAACCTTCGGAACGCAGGGTCCTGAGCCCGGGAAGAAAGGGAGTGTGGCAAGTGGGGGTTGAGGTTGGAAAAAGTACAGAGTAAAGCAAAACCAGCCGCTGGGTAAAACCGATGAAGAGACATCCCCCCCCCAAAAGTAGAGAAGTAGAAGGGAGGGCAGCGGCCTGGAAAGGGGGACTGTCCGCGAGAGCAGTGAGGGCGGGATGCGCCCCATCATCCCCAGGACCCTGTCATCATGACCGACACCACGGTACCTGGGGCTGGACGCCCGGCCCGGCTCCGAGCCCACATCTGCCGCCGGGATGCCGCCGCCCCCCGCGCCCCCCGCCCGGAATAACGAAAACGTCTCGGGGATGCGCGCCTGGCTCCCTCCAGCCAGCCGTGACCTAGGACCAACCCTGAGACTCGCCCCCTACGGAGAGCCTCCTGCTCCACCACCGCTCCCCGAACCCCCCGGCGGGGGTGCGGGCCAGGGAAACCCCCCCCCCCGGGCCATCGTGTGTGTTTACATAGCGAGGAGCTGCAGGACGGAGAGGGGCCGGGGGGAGACGCACCTCCCACCCGCAGAGCCCCAAGGAGAGGGTGGCTGAGGGCGCCGGAGCCCCCAGCGCCACCTCTTCCCCCCAAATAAACACCCGCCGGCCGAGCCGAGACGGGAAGGGTGCAGGGGGCGCCGGCACTCACCTCCTCGGGGATGGCGGGGTCCGCAGCCGAAGAGGCCGCGGCGCCGGCGCCGGCCTCGGGCTCCATGTCCCCGTTGAACAGAGCCTGGCCCTGCTCCGCGCCGCCGTCGCCGCTCAGCGCCGCCATCTTATAACCGAGAGCCGGGGCTCCAGCGACCGCTGCTGGGCGGGGAGGGGGAAGGGAGGCGGAGGGCGGGGGGGGGGGGGAGGCGGAGGCGGGGGGCGGCGGGGGCGACGGCCGGGCGGCGCCGGCGGCGGGAGGGCGCTGGGCCACCTCAGGAACCGGCCCGCGGCCCCCAACGCAGCGGAGCCTGAGGGGATTGGGGGAAGGACGCTAGGCGGGGGGCGGGGGAAGGGGGCGGAGACCATTAGAAGGCGCCGCGGCGTTGGCGTCACCCGCGCGTCACCGCCGTTACGTCATCCCGGGTGCGTGACGTAATCCGAGGAGCGCCCTCACGCCCTCGCCTGGGGAGGCTTCCTTCGCGTCCTGCGCGCCGCGGCGCTCAGCGGTTTCTTTCCTTCCGCCGTTTCCATGGCTTCGGGTTCCTGCTCCATGCTCCTCGCGGTCCTAAGCCTGCTCCGCAACAGGGACTCCGTAGCGGAGTTCGAGGAGAAGTTGAAATCCTGGAGGGAGGAGGACGGGGAAGCCCATTCTCCTGTTATTTCCTGTACAACGAACGTCCCTGTCATAAAACTAAGACGCGAACCCCCGAGGCTGCCACCGCCGGGTAGAATTTGACAGGAACATGCGGAGGAACAGCCGGCTTCTCAGAATGATGCGCGTATCCTCCTCGTGAACGGGCCTGGCCTGTTCAAGCGAATCTAAATGGAAGTCTGAAAGGTGTTCGGCCAGTTGTTTCCCTCGCTGGGGAATGAAATGTTTCCTTTTAGGATATTGTTCGTTTTCCAGGTTCACTCACTTGACAAATGTCGGAGATGGAGCGCTTTCCAAGTGCTAGGGCCGGCCCAAGGCACAGAATATTCTAGCCATCTGAAACATGAAAACTTTGATCATGTTTGTTTTGCAGAAAACCATTCAAAATATGTTAAATACCGTCGTGCTTTTAATAACAGAACATTCCAAGGCATTCTCTGTGCAAACTATGCATGAAAACTATTAAGGAAGGAGAGGTAAATTCCTTTGGAGAGGCCCAGTGACAGAGCGGAATTAAGGAAACCCAGTTCATTATTAAAAATACATCTATTTTAAAGGAAAAGGGGACTACTCAGGGAGGAAAACACAACTTAAGGAAGGGAGAAATGGTCGTGACAAACATAGTGGAAGTTACTGTGGCTCCTGATGGTGGGAGTTAATCGCTAAAGGAACCTAAAAGTCGAGACATGAGAAGCCCTGAGTGGACTCTGCACCTTTGTGCTCCCCATTGAATGTCAGGGGAAGTCACCAGTGACCTCATTGTATTCAGGATGAGTCAAGAGGTAGAAAGCTGTCCTACTGACCTCTGAAGCAGGAGGTCTGCATATTGACAGAGTCAACATGAGCCTGGGAGCTGACCCTCGCTCCCAAGGTAAGAAGTTTGCGAGGCTGCTTTCTTAATCAGAATACCAATATCCCTCGACATTGAAATATACAAAATACGACCTATTGAATGAGCATGGTATGCTTTGTTAGTATCATTGTACTTTCTTCTCCAAGTAGGAAAGTCGCCTAGAGGAACTAAATTTAAATCAAAAGGTGGCTTGGAAAAGTAGAATAAATGAAGATGATCATAAGGGATAATGTCATCAAGCCGTGGTCTGAAGTGCCCTCTTTATTATAAGGATATACTTCTAAGCAGACTAAAATAGCACCATCAGCCAGTTTGATTTCATCTGAAACAAAACTGGCAGGTTTTTAAATTCTCTAACAGACTTATTTTTAAAAAATCAGCCTCTGCAAATATTACATCATTAAAACATTGTCTCAAAAGGTTAAAAGTTCTAAGATTATTTTTTTTCATTTGTTCCATTTTAAATTATAGCCTTCCTTACTAGCAACAATCTGTAAATCTTATTTTACATGGTTATTTCCTCACAGAATGGCTGATATCACCCATTTAATATTGCTTCTTGTTAGCTTCCATTTATTCAACACTTTCTGAACTTGTCTTCAAAGTTTGGATATATTTTATTTGATTTCCCTAGGCCATTCTAATGCCCCACAGTATCCAGATGGGAAAATATAAAGAAAGCATAAACTTTGGAGTCCAAAGATCAGGATTTTAGTGTCAGCTTGCCACATTTTGGCTATATAACCTCAAAGCAGGTAAGCTCAAATCACTGTTTTATGTTGTTTTACCCATTTATTTTTAAAATTTATCTTTATTGTTGAAAGTATTACAGATGTCCCCTTTTTTTCACTATTGACCCCTTCTAGCCCTCATCTGCCCCCAGCCCCAGGCCTTGACCACACTATTGTCTGTGTCCATGGGTTATGCATATAAGTTCTTTGGTTAATCTCTTCCCACCCACCCACCTACCCCTGCCTTCCCTCTGAGATTCAGCAGTCTGCTCCATGATTCTATGTCTCTGGATCTATTTTGTTCATCAGTTTACTTTGTTCTTTATATTCCACGTATGAGTCAGATCATGTGATACTTTCTCTGACTTACTTTGCTTAGCATTATACTCTCCAAGTGTTGTTTTAATCTATAAAATGAGAGTGGTAATAATGCCAGGCCAGCCTACCTAATTATCATTATGAGGGTAAAATATTATAGTTTTGCCCTTTATGAAATATAAAGTTACCCTCTCAGTCAGAATTCAGACAAGGCTTGTCTCTGCTCCATGACATCTGGGAGCTCATGTGGAGGGGTGAGCCTGGGGGGTGTCTCAATGGGTTGGGATGGCAATTATCTGGAGACATTATTTCCTCACAGGTTTGGTGGTTGAAACTGGGGCAGTCAGCCAGAATACCTAAGCATACTCTCTTCATGTGGCTTGAGCTTCCTCGTAGCATGTTTGCCTCAGGGTAGTCAGACTTCTTGCAAGGTGGCCAAAGGGCTCCAAATGCTAGTGTTCCTGTAAGCAAGGTGAAAGCTGCAATGCATTGTATGACCTAGCCTCCAAAGTTACACAGCATCACTTCTGCTGCATTTTATTGGATACAGGTAAGTTACAAAGTCCAGCACAAATTGAAGGAGAGAGGGTTTAGATCCTATCTCTCAATGGAAGAAGTGTCAAAGAATTTACATGTATGTTTAATTTACAGATAGATCGTGTTTACAGTAATGTACTGGCTACTCTGTAGAAATGGCTGCTTATGTCACCTTCTCCAGAAGGGATTCTGTATTCAAATTCTCCCTCTTTTATTACCGGAAATCACCAAGACATCCTAGTATGCTAATGAAGAAGCCCTTACCTTCTTTCATTAGCTTCTGAAACCCCACTGCATGCAGAAATAAATGTAGGTCCTTCACCATTGGACATACCCTAGCTGTCTCCTCTTTGGCACTTCCGCCAAAATCACAATGCTGCCCAGGCAAGGTTGAGGCGCTGCAAACCTCTACACAAAGCAGTGGCACTGTGTTCTTGGTGCCCAGCCAGTTTGTGTTCTGAGCAGAAAGAAAGCACACCTCCCTTTGTGTTGTAGTATGTCATGTGGGCACCAGCACAGTATTATCCTGCATTCTAAAGTCTTAACATGCATTTTAGTCACCGTTCTTTTAGGTTTTGCTCACAATCCCCTTTACCCCAGGGCAGTCATGTATTCACAGGAAGCTGGAAAACAAATCTAGGTGAGAAGCACTGTTTCGAACATTGCTCCAGCTGATGACTGAGATACTAAGAGGTCTTGCTGATATGTCTGACCCTCTGTTCCCTGGAGATGAGTTTATTTCTAATTGACGGGCATTTCTATCTTCAATCCTGCATTCTAATAGACACTGAATAGTTCTACCCATCAGCCAGACCTACCCAGTTCCAACCACATTCAATGATGTATAGCTAATAACAGCTTAATATTTTATGTATGAATCAAGGTCATCACTTCAAATACCACATCCTGTATTATTTAATAAATGGCTACTCTTAGAAGCTATTTAGGTGTGAATAGAAAATTGAATCATGAAGTTGATTCAGCACAACCTTCCTACTGAGAAGCATAGGAATTTCCTCTGTGGAATTCCAGACTCCATCTTAATTCTTTAGTGATGGGGACTTCACTAATACTGTACATTGAAGGATAATTATTTTTTCTGAAGTTGAATTGAAATCCTCTTCTTATGATATCCATATTCTGATGTGAGTTTTGCCTTCTAGAGGAACTCCGGATGAGCTTATTCTATGAAATTGCTTTCAAACATTTGAAGGAAGTTCTGTTTCCTTTAGTTCTCTCTTCAAAGCATTTTCTCTTATTTCTGTGTACTCTTTTCAGTGTTCTTCTTAAAATGTGGTCCCATGAATTGAACACTATTCCAGATCTGGTCCAACAGAGAATGGAATCCCTTATTGCTATAACCTAGGAACCGTGCTTTTGTTAATATAATAAAAAACCATATAAGCAACTCCACCTGATTATTGGTACATATGAAACCTGTAGTCGACAAAAACCGTTGTGGTTTTTAAAAATAAAATACTGTTACACCAAGTCTTTTTAGCATCATTGTCATCTTCTCTACTGAACTCACATTTCCCATACTTTTTAATTCTTAAAGAAAGACCTCACTTTTAGGTTCATGAAATGTGTTAGATATATTTCTAACATTTACCAAAAGATATTTATATCAGTATGTTATTTCATTTTATAACATCTTGTTTCTACTACCCTGGGATGTGTTAAGATACAGAATTCTTTGAAATAGTCTTTGTGGATTTAGTAATTTGGGATGTTAATTTTTTTTTTTTTTACATTTGCTTATATTGCAAGGTATAGTAGACTACATACAGTATGCTACCTTCTTGTATTAAACTAGGGGAAACTAGTACCTGATAAAGGATGGGTCAGAATGGGGTGGAGGATATCAGGTGGGAGAGAGACTTTTCTGAGTATATCTTTTAATATAGTTTACTCTAGGAGACGTAATAAGTGAAAAAAGTAAAATCTAACAAAATGAACTTAATTGTATACCAAATTGATAACATAACTACACAGAAAAAATAATTCAAGTAGCTTTTGTATGTAGTTTTCTGACTACAGAGTATCATAGATTCACTGTGTCAAATTAGCTAAACTGGAATTGTTTCCCA